CATTGTAAGACCATATTTCATTAATTTTAACATAAATCTATTTTAATCAATTAATGATCAAGTAATGATAATATTTGATGTAATATTGAATATATATTATGTAGAATATTGTATTATATCAAAATACAAAAAATATATTATAATAATTAATAATTAATCGATTATATATATTTAATAAAAATTTAATATTATTTAAAAAAATATATAATCTATAATAATTTTATAAATACTTTTTATTTTTACTTTTTTATTTTTCTCAAATTTTACGAAATTATATGAATTGTATAATTAATAATTGTAAACAATATTAATAACTTAATGATAACTATTAATAACTTTATAAATTTATTACTACTAAAAAAAATTAATAACTATCCAGTGACTTATAAAGTATATTCTTTATAAAAAAAATTTTTGAATATTTTTTATTTTGTATTTCTAATATTTTTTACGATATAATTACTTCATTGAATTTTTGAAGGATAAATCCATTTAAATAATTGCGATATTGCGATATAATACTGCTGATCAGTCAAAATTGCAATAAATTATTTATAACTTAAAACTTAATTACAACATAAATTTATTAGAATTTAAAAAATAAATAACTAATCTACAATTTTGCATATGAATTTTTGTATTCGTTTAGAATCAAATCTTTGTCTAGAATCAAATCCCCCCAAAGATATCCCATATTTTTTTAAATACCCTGTACATGCTTTCTAGTTTCGAATATGTATCTACGGAGCAATAATTTGTCGAAACAAAATCGGTAGAGAAGTGAGATCGAATGACCAAAATGGTTTGTTAATTACATTAATGCATGCAGGAAACATGATAAAAAAAGATGGGCACTTACGTATCGGTACGCAAACGGATACACGCGATCACATTTAATCGTTTAAAAGCACTTACTGGGTCGCGAAACGTTTCGATGCCTATAGAAAGAGGCAGCGTTGCCACAGTCAAACTGTCTTATCCATTTTCGCGTAAGGTTAACGACCGTCCGGTTTGCGAAACTCGATGACTTGTAACGAATAAGTACGAACATCTGCTGGAAATGATCGTACATCCCACTCCTACGGACGTGTCGTATTCGTGTAATTTGAAATGGTGGTTTCACATAGACATTGCGGCAGGGTTAAACAATACAATGGAAAGAAAAAACTAGAATTATATAATTGTTTTCTAATAATGAAGCAATACTTACCTTCTTTTTAAATTTCGAATATATGAAAGATAATTTCTGAAATTAATTTTTCATTTGGATATGTTTTTAAATGTGTTTTTTAATTTTTATTTTTCTTACAAGGAAGCATATAAAAATCATATATCTGGATGTATTTATTTTAATTATATTTATTTTTAATTTAAAAAAATCTTGCAAATTTTATAATGATTTTCTGATTTTATCGAAATATTTGTTAATAATATTTTGCAGTAAATGATATATATACATATATATATACATATATATATATACATATATATATATATATATATATATATATACATATATATATTTTAAAAAATGATCAAATTT